CTCGGCTACACTGCCACGAGTACCCTTGAGTCACAGGACATAAGTGAGTTTCAAGGACGGTCAGGCCTCTTCTATTACCAGTCCTTCATCACCTTAGACGAAATAGGGTGAATATATCTCATTACATTGAATTGTGTTAACGTTTGCATTGCTCCTTCAAGACCACGACGTCTTTCGTTTATTCACCAGAGACGATGCAAATGTGCGCAAAAACATTGTACCGATTGCCTGAAGAAACCAGTTTCCTCACTAATCTTATTAGACATTTAATAACATATACATAAGGCGTCATTTGACAAAAATCTTAGCAACAATCATCCAATACTGGTCTATCTTTTCCGCTCATGTCAGATCCCTTATCATGCTACCAATCTACGAATCTACTTCTTAGCATAGGTCGCCCTTGTACTTCAGATGGGCTCTAGGGCCGTATGTTAGGCTTAACTCCTGCCTGTGGTCTGCACGTTCCATTAGTACCGCCCACTCGAGACGGGCTTATGGTGTTTACAATCTGCATATTTCGTATGCTTAGTATCTCTATCCCGACCTCCTTTCTGTCACTGCCAGAGCTGTACCTCAGTGCTTTCCGCCGAATCTACCTTCTCAAGAGTCGACCACGTGGCATGCTTGAGATGCATAAACAGCGACCCCATATCTTATTTACTAGGCCGTGTCTGCACAGGATAAGGCCATAAGTGGGCAAAATCTGATAATATAAGTGCACGACTAGAGTCGCCAATTTTCACTCGTCTGTCTATACGCGGCCTTATTCAGAAGTCTGAGCTATGTAGCAGTATATGTGCGTGTGAGTGGTGGTTTTGCCTCTGGACTAATGATACCGGGCACCAGTCTCGCTTAATCAAATTTAGATCATTAGGCATTATCATTATATGTCCTTAAATCGAATTTAGTAGAAGTATTGGTATATTCATGGTTCGGTATTATCGTACCTGTCCGCACCTGAATACTCGGAGAAGACCAAACCTCCCCAGCCCGCTTCACTCATGTGTGCTATTTGAGTCAAGGACTTTGGCTTCCACGAAGGTATGAATATTGGAGTAAAGACTTTCATTTCGTATGGAAGTACGCGAATCTTCGAGGTTTCTGGTGTGATTGAGCTACGAATCTCTCAAACATGTACTTCCATACGAAATAAAAGTCTTCACATCAATCATATACTTTAAACCCGCATTTTCTCCGTATATACAAGGTATCAACAGCTCAGCTGGTATGCTACAAATCTGGCTTGATTCTATTATAGGTTGAGCATTCAGGTATAATCCAACAATGTTAGTAGGTCATCGAAAATAAACTGTATATTTATTGATGATACTAGATCCTGAATAACAATTATCAATTAATGCTGAATTGATAGTATAATTTACCCACTGATACGTGTAGACCTCATCTCGATTGAATTTGATTTGCCAGGCTAGACTACAGGTTCAAAATCTTTATTATCAAATAGCTTGGTCAATTGCATCATCGATAATATAGGAAAGGCCTATCCTTCGTTCAAATTCGCCTATACTCTTTGATCTAACTCTTGGCAATATATCTTAGTTGCCGAGACTGCGCTACACTACCCGAGATCTAGTCCCGCTGAGTGTAACTCAATTCGGGTTGAGAATAGTTTTGGGGGGCAAGACGAAATGTAATTCAATGGAAACGCTTACGTATACTAGTGTGGGTAAATTCAACTATCAGTCTCATTTTATTCTATCCCTACTTTAAAAGAGTATATTAATCTCTTTTCCACATTTCGTTGATTTACAGGCGCATTCCATTCAGTCCATTCAGCCTCGGTTTCTTATATTATTCATTGATGGTGGCGTGAAAAGCCTTTATGGTGTCTAAGATTTAGGATAAAGCTTTGCGTACACTTCACACTCTCTGAGGCCCAATCCTGCAATTTGTCACAACATGTATAATCACCAAATAAAACTCGTCCATACTGTTCTGCGGACATTAAACATGATAATTCAATATCTTCTTGTCCTGGCATAGGCCCCGAGAATGAGCTCTTTGCCTGACACTAGCTTCATTCGTGCTTATCATTTAGGTCGGAATGGGAAAACTAATTTACTGCTACGGATTTAATTATTACCCTTTTTAAGCCAACTATTTTACACATATTTTTATACTCCTGAATATGCCATTTATATATTTGTTGACTATATTATTGTGTGTCAAAGCGTAATCAACAGATATTTGATTTTTTGAAGGTGT